AAGCTAATACCTTTTAATATGCCAAACCTGGTTGTTAAATAGCTACATTCTATCCATACGGACGAGACCTTGCATAATTGAATAATTGAACGAACTTACAGGAAGTTCGATTGCAATTATGCGATCTCGTCCGTATGGATACTCCCTCCCACCCATCCCATTTTTCTCAGGTTCGGCAATGTTGAAATAATGAAGTGCCTTGCGCGCGCAAGGGCGGCATGATATAGGCGCTAAACGAGAGACATCTATATGTCTTTTTCAATTTTAAAGTATCCTGTTGGGAAGCCGCGACGGAGCGCGACTACATTCTATCCATACGGACGAGACCGCATAATTGCAATCGAACTTCCTGTAAGTTCGTTCAATTATTCAATTATTCTCTCGGACAGTAAGAGAAGAAGATCTCGTGGCGTGAAGCAGCAGCAAAAGCGTGGCATCCGTAACACACGACATCCGTCTACAGACTTCAGCGCGCAGCGCGACTCGACTCGACCCACTTGAAGTGAACAATTAGATTGGCGAATCGCGTGACATTATTCGCTCTCTGTAGCGCCTTCACCGCTCACGGCCATGACCGTGTGAAAGAACAAAAAGGGCACGAAACTCTAAATACGAAGAGAGCTCCTGGCCTTTTATACATATTTTATGAACAAATCTTTGGCACACGCATGGGATCCCCATTATCCCCCATTCTGGCTGACATGATGTTAGACGACTTACAATTAGAGTTCAGTTGTTTGCAGTCTTTGGATTTCGAAATCCCCCTTTTTTCACAGATATGTTGACGATATCTTTGCTATTGTGCCGTCCAACAAAATTGACCTAATTTTAGAAGTTTTCAATAAGTACCACCCTAAATTAAAATTCACACATGAACTAGAAACAAATAACTCTATCAATTTTTTAGACGTTAACGTCATCAGAAAAAACAACCAGCTATTGACCAATTGGTATAGAAAACCCACATTTTCGGGACGTTACACGAATTTTTTCTCCAACCATCCCCTCCAATACAAACTTAACACGATCACAAACCTGGTAGATCACGCAATTTTATTATCACACAGCAGATTTCATGACTCTAATATCTCTATTATAAAGAACATTTTACTCAATAACTGTTTCCCCCATTGAACTATAACCATACTGGAAGGAGCACTCCATTGTTGTCGTGCGGTCAGAACGGTGCGAGAGGGATAGTTGAATGGGAATGGAGCTATTCTTGTCTAACTAACTACAGCGATCACGTGACTCGATATACTACACAGTCTGAACACATTTGCTTTCGCAATTTTACTCTAATTTGCTTACTTGTGTAATGATAAATTCATATCTTTATCACGTGTTTTAAGACAATTTTTTATATAACATTCTCTTCCCATTTTTGATAGATATACACTTTTTGGTTGTCACCACTATACGAGAACAAATCTGAACCAAAGTTTTCAGCCACGGTAGTTGACGTTAAAAAAAGACATCACCATTCCCATTCAACTATCTCTCTCTGACCGCTCGATCCTATGGAGGGGGTAGGCAGTGCTCCTTCCAGTATGGTTATAGTTCAATGGTTTCCCCAATCACATAGTCGACAAATACATTAACAAAAGACTCAAACAATTACAAGACTCCTCTCCGAACTCCGAAAACACATTTGACATAAGAACTTGTATTACCATACCGTACATCAAAGGCACTAGCGAAAAGATACGTCAAAGTCTACTGAATATAGGTCTAAACACAATTTTTATCGTCCCAAAAAACTAAACAGACTAATAAGAAAAGGCAAGGATCCTTTATGTGATTCTAAAAAAACGGAATTAGTCTACAGACTAAACTGCAAAGACTGCAATGCATCATATGTTGGCCAGACAAAAAGACATCTGGAGACGAGAGTTAAAGAACACATCAATAATATAAAAAAGATTGATGAGAACCAGTCAGTCGTCAGTAAGCACCGCGCTATATTAGGACACGAATTCAATTGGACTCATCCAGATATCCTACACTGAGAAAAACATATCAGAAGAAGAGAAATCGCTGAAATGCTACACATAAAAATGGATCCGAACACCATCAATTCGAAGAAAGACACTGAGAATCTCAACTCTGTTTATGACTCTATTATTAATTCTATAACATGAACTGTTATTTATCTGTTACTCTCTTCTTCTCGATGTTTTTTTACCTATACGGCCTAGCTAGTTGATATTTGCGACAGTCACTCTCCATCCTTTGTAGAATACCTACATGTTTAACGATCACTAGACAAAAAGAATTTTTATAATTGTGACTCATCAAGGAAGGTTTTTAATTGTCTCCGTGTTCATCAAATGAATACTAAGGTGAGACTGGCGTTCGATTTATCTAATTTTTGTTTTATAATATCCACGTGGACAAACCAGAATTATATTATGTTCATTTCATTTATATAATTATTATATCAAACATACTCTATATATAGTGTTCAAATATTATTGTATTTTAGTAACGGCTTGAGAAGGACCAGAACCGATGGTGGAAACATCGCCTGTTTATCCCAATTTAAAAAAAAATACATTACACACATGCCAGATAAGGTCGACTAAAATTTATTATATCAACAGAATATCCTCAGTATATACCATTGATATATTTTCAGCACATACTATATATGAGAAAAAGCGGACATTAGTGCATTCTCAGTACGTACTCAGTACATCATAGAACATATTCGAAAGTTATGAGAATATACGTAACGTACTGTTGTGATATTCTCAGAACTTTCTCAGTATCTACATATATGTGCTGTGTGGGTCACTATTCCATTCTAATACGCTTCAATAGAGTATATTAATAATATTAAATATTATTATTATAAATAATATTAAATTATAAAATAAATATAAGATCGCCCGCGTCTTTTTACAATTGCAATAGTTCATAAGAGTTACCAGAAAATAACAATTATCTTTTGTATATAATGACATATATAACAATGGTTTTTATTATTTCAGAGTGTGCCAGACAGTAACAAGTTTTCGTGGATTTTGAAGCACTGAGAACCAATGTAGTCTCTCGGTCGAACCTCTTACACCTTTTCCAAGAGCTACTTTACCGATAAAAGTATCGGTGGATCGTTTAAATGAACATATAGAATCTTCGCTGTCACTCGCGTCGGCAGTACTGACGGGTGGTCCTTCCGGTAAAATCTAAAATTATTAATGACAACAAAATATGACTTTCTCGTATTAGTGTCTTTACGAACCTATTCTTATTCTATTTGTGATAGGTTATTAAACTAGTTTTATATTTAAAACTCTTTAATCGATTAAAAATAGCGACAAATAAACGAGTAATGGAAGTATCTGAATAGTCAAATCTGTCGAAAACAGCAGATTTGGTAAATGTTTAATATAAATTTTATTGATAAATTATCAGCAATAAAAAAGAATCCGCTACAGATTGACTGTAGAAGTTGAGCAGAATCTACTGTTTTGTAACCATTTGAACAATGTCTTCTATTCAAAAGTTTTCAAAATGACAGATTATGTTTGATTTCTGTTAATACTCTGTCATTGTTACATATAATAATATGTATTAAAGAGAAAATTCTGTTTCTGTATTGTGAGAACCGAGTTCCGTTCAGTTTGTGGCTCACATTGGCACTTCTCCTTTCTACACATAAAACTATTTGTTTAAAACATTTTTCCTATCTCTTTTATTTTAACAGGTATTCAGCTGCATCACTTAAAGTGATACACCCTGTATATATAGATATAATAATATTATATATGTAACAGTAATATACCATTCGTTATATGTATATTTCTAAAAGATTACGTTATTATACAGGGTGCTACGCAACATATTGACCACCGGTCATGGGAAGGTAGAGGGGACTAAGACAAACAGAAAAGTCCTGTACTATTTTGCGCTTGGACGAATAGTTATCGAGATATTGAATTTTAAAAATCGCCGTATTAGCCCAACCTACTGGCAAATGTAAGCACGCTGTGAGATGCGTCCGCCTAGCGGCCCCGCTCGAGGCGGTGTGTGGCGAGGAATAGGATGGCGGTGCGCGGTGAGGAGTAGGGAGGCGAGGCGCGCCACTGCCCGTCCGCCGCTTACGCGACCGCTTGGCAAGCGGCGCTTGCACGTCTCCCCGCGCTGCGTCAAAGTTCGCAGCGATGGTCGCTAGTGTTGCTACTCACCGCACGCTTGCATTTGCCAGTAGGTTGGACTAATACGGCGATTTTTATAATTCAGTATCTCGATAACTATTCGTCCAAGCGCAAAATAGTATAGGACTTTTCTGTTTGTCTTAGTCCTCTCTACCTTCCCATGACCGGTGGTCAATATGTTGCGTAGCACCCTGTATTTATGTTATTATATGTATTTGGAGTCACAGGTGTGTTACATAAGATTTTTAAATAATTGTTACGGTGATATATACGTCACAAAGAAATATAACTTTGTTCTTCTAATGTGCTGTCAATGTTATGTAATAGTTACATCTCTTCTATACAGGGTGTCTGATAAAAATGTCGCCAATTGTAAAATAGTGGTAGATTGGGTTGAATTGAGAAGAAAAGTCACATGCCGCGTTGCAAAATTCGCAATAGTTATCGAGTAATTAATTTATACATCTGAGCGAATGAGGACGTAGAATACGGTAGGCCGGACTTGGAACTCATGTAAAATAATCGATCGATAAGCGGGAGGTGGAGCGACGCGAGATACAACGCGGTGGGAAAAAACAGCGATCGCGGCGGGGAACGCGGCGCGGGCGGCGAGCGTTGTATCTCGCGTGTCGCTCCAGAACCATTGCATAACACTGCTAAAACAGTGTCCAAATTTTAGTCGGCAGTCGCTTGCAGTATGGCAGTATGGTGTACATAATTTTAAGTTGTGAATTTTCCAAGAGTAACCTTTTCTCCACAATTTACCTTGCTACAGAGCACCACAAGAAATTGGACAGTATCGAGTTGAGTGATTGCCAAATCGAATGTCAAAATCTCGTTAAACTCCGGCTGCGCAACAGCGCGCAAGAATTTGGTTTTTTTCTTCTTCATCTTTTTACCCGTTTTTCCGTTTAACATTAACACTCTAACATACGGATCTGCAATAAACGTAGTTATTTGAAAATATTTTCTACGCTATTAAAACATTGTTAATACTTACTAAATTCATTTACACTCAACACAGTTGGTATAAATTTAACATCGCGCAGTTTCATGATGTTAATAGTCAGTCTTTCTGCAGTGGGTAGATAGCTTATAGCTAATAAAATATTGCCAAACTCCTGAAAAGTGTATAATTATATGTTATACAGGGTGTCTGATGCAAAAGTAGCCAACTTGAAAATAGTGGTAGATTGGGTTAAACTAAGGAGAAATATCATGTGCCGCGGTACAAAAGTAACAATAGTTATCGAGTAATTAATTTACACGTCTGAGCGAATGAGGATGCAGAATACGGTAGGCCGGACTCGGAAGGCATTTAAGAAAATCCATCGATGAGCGGGAGGTGGAGCGACGCGCGAGATAGTACATGTATGTGTATGATTATGTTTCGGGTCGCTCGTCGCTCGCGCTCGCTGCCGCGCTCGCCGCCCGCGCCGCGCTCCCCGCCACGCCTAGGTTTTTTCCCACCACGATGTACCTCGCGCGTCGCTCCACCTCCCG